TCTTAGAAAGTTTGGCGTAGAATTTTGAACATCCTGTATGATTTACGATTACCATACTTATAATAAAGTAAGTACAGACCATCTAAAATAAATAAGTAATATAGTTTTGATTTCAGGACAGTTCCTGTATTTTTAATAAAAACTGAAAAATATATATTTTTTATTTATTTATTAATATCTCTGAAACTATCGAAATATATTTACTGATATCTTGGGATTATGTAAAGTGATCTGAAAGGAAGCCAAAAATACAATAATATAGAGGGTGTTCCATTTAAAAAAATCATCTTGATCCACTCACCCTTGTTTGGGCCACCCTTTAGAACTTAAAATATTTTCTTGAAATACATTCTAGTACATATCTACTTTAAGTTTTTCCCTTAAATTAAATTCCCAAGTTTTTTATTCTAGGAGCTACAGATGACCGACGCATTTTTGTCGGACCCTGTATACTCTCAAGGTATTTTTAAAATTGGAAAAAATATTTTTCAAATAAACTTAACAAATACAGGGTAAAAATTGTGGAATATACAATTAAAACAAATTTTTAACTATTGTTTCAACAGACATTTTTATAATCAATATTTGGTATAATCAAATAATAAAAAATAAATCCTGTCTTAGATTCACAAATATATTTAATTTTGTGTTTTTTCATTAAAAATGTAAATTTTGCTAGATAATATAGAAATATTTCGTTAAGTATAAATAATGTGTCACAGGCTCCAGAAATTTGATATATAACACTTTTTATTATACAATAAGTCTTATTTTTGTGTATTTTTTGACATTAATGAATCAATGGGGCGTCTCAGTGTCGAATCTCATTAAAAAAGGCAAATTTCTACACAAAACAGATATTTATGTAAAATCGCTTATTTCTGGGGCTTACTCAACCGGGTCTCACAATGCAAATTCACCTCAAATATCCATTTAGTTGGTCATTGGCAAGCACTCTCTCATTGTACATGAAAATAACAAAACAAACATTTACTGATCTGGATAAAATTGATAGTTAAATAGTAAGACTCACCCGGGGGTACTCCGCCCCCTAGTCACTGATATATTCTATTCAATATATCCCATTCCATATTTTCCATCTAATTCAAATATCATTCGGATCTATTGGTTAATAATCTTCAACAACTAGCTAGTGTCACCTGAAATAGGATAGGGGCTTCCCCCGGACGCAACTCTGCCGCTAAACAGATTCGCATCCCAATCGAATAAGCTAATTGGGGTACCTCACTAGTCTCTCTACCCCAACGCCGCATCGTGTCAATCGAGAAGACAAGGGAGACCTCAAACTCTCAAGACCAACCCCGAAGGAAAGACGTCACCAGAGGTTTTCTTCCGGTCAAACGACCCGTTGCCTTACAGTACTTCCAACGTTTATAGTCAAAAGACTCTCAACCCCAAATATCAGCTCTATGACAAAACACAACACAACAGCCGGCTGGCCAGTCTTCTACTGAACCGCCGTAGGCAAGCTAAGCCTCCTCTTACATCACAGTTTTACCGGATCGCAAATGTTTACATTACTTGCCAATCATACTATTTTCTCTAATCGACTTTTTTTTTTTAAATAGAGTGTTTTAGCATTACTAGATAAATAAATAGAGAGTTTCCGAATTATAAAACCATTATTATAACCAACTTATTTTCCAAGTTTTACATTTAATTTCTTTAGGGTTGGTTTATTAATTAAAAATTGGAAGAAATTAATTATAAGAAAAACACGCAATTACAATATTATAGTAAGTGATTTGAAATTAATATTTTGAACTATATATTTAGAGAATTTAATTTTTATAATATTCAGTCAGGTTATGAACCTTGATTTAGTTTGTTGTTATAATAAAAATCTATGTACTCTAGATAAAAAATTAAGACTCTAATTCCAGAAATTGTTTATATTGTATGAAACGTGTTTGTTGAGGAAAATGCATTCATTTACAATATGTTTACGTTTATATTCTACACCGTAGATATTATAGTTGTAAGTATCTTTATACTACGTGAAAAACTCTACAGGACACAGTTTTCACCTTTTCGATAAGTTTCAAAGGGGTTACATTTTCAAATTCGCCCTGTATTTCAGGAACTAAAAGAGCTAGGACAAAGGTGTGTGTAATATCTGTAGTTTCATAAAAAGTAGTACAGTAATGCGAAAACCGCATCTCTGTATCTCTATTCATAAACAATGAAGATGATGATGATTTTCACAATTAACTGATTTTAGAAAGATGTTTTTTTACGAATCTATTAAGAGTTCATTTCACTAGCCCGAAAAAGTAACTTCACTAGCCCGACAAAATAAGCATTCGGCATTTAACGTTTTATGTAAAACTGGATAGGTATTTTTACACATATGAAGAAGGAAATTAAAGATAAAGGATTGTACTATATCCGTATTATAGCACATTTTTAGACACCTTCTTTACTTTTTAGATTTTGATGGTCAAACATCAAGAAAATATTCCTTATATTTGGACTAAATGTTCTCGAAAATAAAGACATAATTTAAAGTTCCGTGACAATACGGATATAGATTGAAGTTTTGTGATTACAGTGATATATAATTTATATGGTTTTGTAACAAATTGCTCCCTATTTTATGGCAAATGCTGAAGCTCTGCAATCCTTAATCAAGTCTTAATCAAAGCACGTGTGTTTGGAATTTTGGGTGTGGCTTAACACAACAGGATTGGGCTAAGCCTTAGGCAGATTTCTGAAATATAATATATATTTCCTTCGGCCACACACCCGCTTTATCCGACCCCTGAGTAATAGACTCTTAAACCAACTACTACAAACCTTAAAACCCGTAGTATAGTCTATAAAATGAATAACTTTGAATTTTGACCGTTATTTTTTACCAACATGGCAAATATAAAATCCCTCTGTCAAAAAAGTTACTGATATTCTTTAACTTGAATGCCTAAATAAATCAGATAGGTAACTCTTTTTACTTTCGTGAAATAGAAAAGGAAAATAATAAAACAAATGACAGTTCTTCCTCTTTTTGCAAAAATCAACACGAAATGTCATAATTGACAAAAGTAAAATGTCATCAACTTTTGACATTTCTAAATATTAGACCAATGCCGTCTCTAATAGAACAGCCACGGAGCAATATACAAATAATGAATAGGTGGTACATAACATAATGGGTAAAATGTAAAATATATTTTAAAATTTGGGGTTTGAAAATCGATCTAATTTAACAAAAAAACATTCAATATCTACTAATAGTGATGTATTATTATTTGCATTCACAAAATTTATTTATATATTATAATCTTTACTGCAATTAATAAACTAATATAAACTTGTCAAAAGATGACCAAATATTTTTTTAAATTATTATTCTTAACACAAAAACTATCTACATTGACTATGGAGTACGATTTCAGCCATATTGTAAAACATTTGCTGCATTTGTATGGTTCATAGTTTATCTGCCAAAGTATTTATTACTATAAATAGGTATATATATATTGTATTTATTAACTGTATATTATGTATATTTCATGTAAACTATATCATTTTTAAAATACAAACCAAAAATACGAGGAATAATTATGTTTTCCATGTATTCTATAGTAAACGCCACGAATGTTTGGGAGTGATACATCAGTCGCTACCAAGAACAGTTAACCTAATAGGACTGCTCATTCAGCCAAAAGTGTCCGCCAGGTGCATGCGAAAACTACTCGCTTTGTGACGTCATTGTAGCCCTTGTCATGGTTATTAGTCCTTATCCGGCAACCAATAATACACACACGTGCATTATTGGTTACCGAATGCAAAATGTTCATTATTTAGTTTATTTATTTAAACACCTTATATGTATGCAGTATAGAAAATTAACTGTATAAATTGTATTAAATACTCGGATAATGCATTTTTAAGAACAGCAGTTCCCAGCATCACCTTTTGCAAGCATTCTTTTTAGAGTACTTCCATATTTTGCTTTAAAATAATTAATAAACAAAATCGTGGGCACTTAGTATGCACTTTGTCACAATCCACATCACAAAATGAACGTATTTATACACTCTATCGCTCTAAAAACTTTACAGACACCTTTTTCACATTTAAAATTGACAAAATAATTAACTCAAAATTTCTCAGCTGTTATTTTTATAAGTTTACCATAGGCAACTAATAATACACACTATCATGCCACGAAGGCTTTGACAAGGGCTACAATGACGTCACAACTGTTAGCTGAAGCGCGGGAAGAGGCGAACGTACGTCTTATGAGGATGAGCAATCCTATTAGTTTACCGTTCTTGGGTCGCTACCATGTGAACTAATCTGTTCAAGGTCACATAAAACTTAATTCCAGTGCCGTGGTCTTTCTAGTCATATAATAATCAATATATAATCTGTTGTAATTTGTTGTTTTAACTGTCAAAGTCTTGTCAAAACATATATTTGGTTATAAATATAAAATGGAATGCCCCATTGGTCGCACTGCAAGCACACCAATGGACTGACGCACAAAAACGAATCAATCAAAGAAACGCGATATAGTATCGTCTTTGTCAATCACGCTAACATTTTAGAATAAGTAGGAGGAGCGCAGACAGATGATTAGACCGGGCCTGTAAAAACCTACATCTGCGGTAAAAATTTACGTTTTTAATGTAAAAATGATAGCGCGCGTGTCGATTCTAACTTCATCAAGCGATGAATCACTCCCAAACATTCGTGGCGTTGACTCTACAACATATATTTATTAATCCGTAGTATCTAACTAGCGTGACATCATAAATCTCGCTCAGAGGCTGTTCTATTAGAGACGGCATTGCGTCAGCAGGGCCGCAAGTTGCTAACTTAATAAAATTAACACTAGAAAAGCCCGCGGAAACTGTCAAATTCAAAGTTATTCGTTTTACAGACTATAGCAATCTTATCTCTGTCCATATTTAAGCTCCAATGATCGTGTTAAAATAAAACAAACATTATAAACATTCTTCTCATTGTTTCAGGTATAATCCAGTTTGTTTGACGAGCAAGCAGCCAGTGCGATCGAAGACAGCGTTGGAAAATATGCCTTATATGGAAAATGTAGCTCCGACCAAACATCTTCGCAGTAGACATTTTCTCTACGACAAGTACTACAATTTGCGGAATTGTGCAATGTCATGTTAAATGAAAAATCAAGTACAAGAGAAAAAGCTTTAAATAAATATTAAAATTTATACCAAAAAAGAAACGAATATTAACTTTAGTTAGTTTTAAGTTTAAACTATAAGTGGTATATTGAGACGTGTTAGTGAATTTGTGTTTTGCGTGTGACTTGAAATATACATATTAGTGGTTAAATTTACTCGTATTATCGCGAAAAAAGTGTATAAAGGAAACATATTTCGTTTGGAGACTATCAAGATGAACGATTCAACGTAAGTATTTTTTGATGATCTATAGAACTTATACAGGGTGTGAGAGAGTATAGAGGGTAATGAGATGCTTATATTTAAGGGACTGATTCTTGGACTTATTCTAAGAAAAAATCATATGAATGCAATTAAACATCTTAACGTTTGAGATACAGTGTGGTAAAATTTTCTAAAAAAAAATTGTGTGTGCACTATATGCGCATATTTGAAGTGAAACTTCTTACTAACAGCTATTAAATTGAAGGATTTGAAAGATATACAGGGTGTCCCAGGCTGAGCGTGCATTAGAAGTTTCTAGAGAACTACAATATCTAGATCGGAGATTTTTTGCATATTACTGTTTCAGAACGAGATCTATCAATTAAAAATATTTTCAATATGGCGGCTTTTCAATATGGCGGCTTTCAAAGTTGCTGTCAACTTCCGGAAATACCGGAAGTTGACAGCAACTTTCTTATTTTAAATGGATACCCCAATTTTTTATTACATACTTAAATTCTCTGTAAAATTTTAAGAATTTTGATATATATACCCAAGTAGCATTTTCACGACTTGCGACCACATGTTTACTAAACACAACGTTGGATTAGTTACAAAAAATAGTTAGCTCCCTACCTTGGGTATTAAAATAAATTTAAACGTTTTTATAACGTTGTGCCGACGTTGGACTAGTACTACAGCAAAGTAGAAGTTACTGCGACGTCGAATAAACGTTGTCTTGTAACCTTTTTTGCTTAAGTGATCTTTAGGTGATTCGGACAACGTAGTTACAACGTTGGACAATATAGAGTTTTCCGACGTCAGTTTCAGGACCTATTCCAACGTTATGCAAACGTCGTCTGTTTTACTAATTCCAACGTTGCTTAGATTTCCTTATTCTTACGTTGGTAGGACGTCGAGTCACTACCTTTTGCAACTGTATTGAACCATAACCTTAAATCTTAAATTTTCACTTCATTGTTCTGTTCAGTCAAACAGTTCAGTGCTGTTTTTGTTTTTATAAAAAAAAACTTAATTAAAATGGGACATAAGAAAGGTACATATAAAACTAAATTTAAATATACATCGACATATATTACCGATAGTTTATCCACTCCCTTGTTTATTTAGATTACAGAGGGCGGCACAAGCTAGACTCTAGGATGACTAAATTAGGCAATCTTGCGACTAGTATACTACCTGTTAAGGCCGAACTGCGACTTTATTAGTCCAGTATGCGACTACTCGAACTACTCGATCTTAATCTCCAAAACAACAAAGTGAAAGCCGCCATGTTGTTAAATAAGAAAATGTTTCGTTACTAAAATAGCGATTCCTGCTTTTTGAATATATTACTTTGAAATATTTGACCCTAAAAAACACGCGGAAACAATTTTTTCGACTGCGAATAAATTATTCTCATTTTACTAAAAAAAAAATTCAAGAAAATTTTTAAAACTTCTTTAATTTTAAGGCCCATTAGTATTTTTCAAAGTAGAAACAATACATTTATCAATAAAGTTGTTTGCGTTTAACTTTTTTGCCTTGGTTAAAGTGTTTCAATAATTATGATCTTCAAACATCCTCCACACTTAAATACTTTTGTTTTATTTTCCTTCACTGCCATCTGACATATGTCTCTAACTAAATCATAAAAATAATATTTTTACTATAATTATCCCAATTTAGGATAAAACGCGACTTAGACGCCATATTAGTTTTGTATTTCTGTGAATTAGGATTTTAAACAACGTTGCAGTTTGTACTAAATTAGGCTTCTAGCCAACGTCGGTATCCAACGTCGTTTCGACCCAAAAATTATTCTCCAAACTAGTGCAGACTAGGGTTGGTACGAGGCTGTGCCGACGTTGCGCTCCGACGTTTGGTCGCGTGACACAACGTTGTCCCGACGTCCAAATGCTGCTTGGGTATAACACTCTATATCTAACATTCACCGTTTTTGAGAAAATAAATATTTAAAATTTTTGGAGGAAAAAAACTGCCTGTAAAAAATAGGTATAGCACAAGCGACATAAATTTATTGATTACCACAGATATGTGGCTATTTATTTCAAAATTTAAATTGATCGTTTGTCGTATAATATTGACCGTAGCTGTGATGGAATCAATGATGGAATTGAGCAATTATAAAATTATCATAAATCATCTTTTTCAAATGGAAACTACCTTTTTTTATTTCACTAGTGAAAAGGTTTTTCAATTCGTTACTTTTTAATTATACATATTCCTATACCTAAAATAAATCGTTTTTAAGTTATTTAAGATTTAGTTTTAAAGCGTATTTTTTCTTGATTTTATCCAGCTTCTTTTGACATTAAGTGTCAAACCATCAGACAATTTATTTTCTTCTGTCAAAAAACTAATTATTTCAAATTCATATATTATAAATACTGCCTGGGAAAACTTTATAAAATGTATTTATAAAAATATATCTCGTATTTTAGTGATAGCTAATGGCAGTATGACATGGCCAGATATAATTTTACATCGCGTGACAAAGTCATAAGCTACTGGTTAAAAAATAAAAAAATATACCCCTTTAAAACTAAATCTTAAGTAACTTAAAAACGAGTTATTTTAGGTATAGGAACATGTATTATCAAGAAGTAACGAATTAAAAAACCTTTTCAGTAGTGAAATAAAAAAGTGGGTTTCTATTTGAAAAAAATGATTTATGATACTTTATTACTCGCTCAATTTCATGACAGCTATGGCCAATATTATATGACATTCGAACAATTTAATTTTTGAAATAGACAGCCACATGTCTTCTTTTTATGCCACAGTGGCTGTGATAATCGCTAAATTTGTTGTTTAGGCTATAAAACATTTTTTTGACAGGCAATTTTTTTCTTCCAAAAATTTTAAATATGTTTTTTTTCTCAAAAACGGTTAATATTAGATATAGAGTGTTTGATATCAAAATTCATAAAATTTTACCTAGAATTTAAGTTTTTTTTTAATCGATAGATCTCGTTGTGAAACAGGGATGTGCAAAAAATCTCTTATCTAGATATTGTAGTTCTCTAGAAACTTCTAATGCACGTTCAGCCTGGGACACCCTGTATATTTGCCTATGAATGCTTTTTATAAACTTCAAAAAAATAGAGTTAATATAAACCTTATATCTACTATTCTAGCTTTATATATATTTTTTTAATTTTATTAAAAAACGATAATTCTATTACCCGGCCGGATAGCTGTGGCCCAAGAACCGTTAACCTAATAGGACTGCTCATTCAGCCAAAAGTGTCTGCAAGGTGCATGCGAAAACTCCTCGCTTTGTGACGTCATTGTAGTATATCCGGCAACCAATAATACACACACGTGCAGTATTGGTTGCCGGATGCAAAACGTTCATTATTTAGTTTATTTATTTAAACACCTTATATGCATGCAGTATAGAAAATTAACTGTATAAATCGTATTAAATACTCTAACTGTATAAATCGTATTAAAAACAATATTGTAGGCACTTAGTAAGCACTTTGTCGCAATCCACAACACAAAATGAACGTATTTATACACTCTATAGCTCTAAAAACTTTAAAAACACCCTTTTCACATTTAAAATTGACAAAATAATTAACTCAAAATTTCTCAGCTGTTATTTTTATAAGTTTACCATAGGCAACTAATAATACACACTATCATGACAAGGACTACAATGACGTCACAACTGTCAGCTGAAGCGCGGGAAGAGGCGAACGTACGTCTTATGAGGATGAGCAATCCTATTAGTTTACCGTTCTTGGCTGTGGCCATTAAACCAAAATACTACTACATCTATATTTCTGACTACTACTAACGGCTACTAACCAACAATATGTTTTGTGTAGTCTGTGGTCTGTTTTTGTTTAAATGTTTTGTTCATTATTCATGTTGGGGATTTATTTTTAAATTAATGTTAAGTATTTATTTTGCATAATCAAAATTGTCACTCTAAATTTTACATAACCAAATTGTCACTGTAAATTACTGTCTTTTTTAGACAGATGTCACTTGTCTTGTCATTATTCAATTCATTATTCGAATTCTCAGAATGTTGTTAACAAAAGTTTCATTTTAAAATAAAATTTTAATCAATCACAATTGTTTATCTCCATCATTTACCGAATTAATAATACAGAAATGACAGCTCAGTTACAAACAATTAATTATTTATAGTGATTTACAGTAATTTTAATAAATTATACGAATAAATACTCCTTGATTGTTGGTTTGAAATAAATATGACTGTGTCCTCCAATGAAGATTATTTCTCCATATTTCAGGGCGGATAGCTACGAGCCAAAACTCAAACTAGAGGACTGTCAGAAAACCTACGCCAACGAGACCCTGAGACTACAGGAAACGCACCCCGATGGATTCTGTAACGTTTCCTTCGACAATATCCTCTGCTGGCCCCCCACCCCCATCAACACCAAAGCGGAGGTCAAGTGCTTTTCGGAATTTATGGGCATCTATTATGACGACTCCCGTGAGTACACTTTTAGTTTTTTATATGTAGTAGACTCTCAGGTGAGGATCAGTGTTATGGATCATAAAAATTTTGAGTAAATTGAAGTTGAATTCCAAACAGGAATTTCTATTTTTGTCAAAAATAATGATGTGAAAAGCTGCAAAGTAGAACACAGAAAATGATTAAAACTAAAATCATCTGCTTAGCGAAATGGGCGTCCAATATTTAAAGTGTTTTGGTGTATTGTGATGAATCAGTGTTATATTTTATTGTCGTATCACCGAAGTTTCGAACACCAACCGTATTATTTTTTTTAGTAGGATCTATACTTAAAGTGTTTCGACTACGCAAATTGTCCATGTATACATGGTTGTATTCTGCAGATAAAAATAAGTAAAAAAGTTCGTATACATAATATATGTCCTAAAATGCTTAGTTTCGGAGATACAGGGTGTAGAAGTTTAATTTTTATTTCGATTTGTTCCATATAATTTTTGAAGTAACGTCAATATTTGGATAAAAATTGGCATCTGGGCTTTTTTTACATGAGAAATTTGATTTTGATGTCAATATGACTCCTACTTGTAGAGGGCGCCACCGACATATTTTTAACTGGTTTGAAGAGTAATAACTTTTCGTCCGTACCTGTATGAAACTGCTGAGTAAAAAAAATATACATTTATTACGTTTTTTAGGTAAAAAAGGTCTCTTGATAAAAATCGCTACAAGTAATGGGTCTCGAGATATTTGTAATCGAAATTATCAATACCTATCATCACTGACATAAATTAAACATTTTGACTAAATAATTATTAGACTGAAATCATAATTTTTTCGAAGAAAGAATTAAGATTAATTTGAAAAAATAAAAAGTTCCCAAATTTATCATTTCAGTGAAATAACTGTCTGTCAACATGTTTATTTTTTGTCAATATTGATATGTATTGACATTTCCATACTAAATATCTTGAGAACGGTTCCTCGTAGCGATTTTTACCAAGAGACATTTTTTACGTAAAAAACACGGAAATGTATATTTTTCACTCAGTAGTTTTATACAGGTACGGACAAAAAGTTATTACTTTTCAAAACAGTTAAAATGCATGTAGGTGGCGCCCCCTACAAATAGAAGTCATATTGATATCCAAATCAAATTTCTCATGTCCCAAACACCAAATATTGACGTTACTTCAGAAATTAATTTGAAAAAATCGACATAAAAGTGAAACTTCTAGACCCTGTATCTCAGAAACTATGCATTTTAGGACATACATTTATACTAACTTTTTTGCTTATTTTCGTCTGCATAATATCCTGCCGAAGTTTCCGGAATACAGTTTGGACCACCCTGTATATTTACTCAAATAACTATTTTATTGAAACAAACCATGTGTTTCTATTTTTATTTTCAAGTTATTTTCTTGCAGACTATGCCTTGCTTCTATATTCTGAAACATCTTCTCAAATATTATTAGACAGTATTTGCATAACCCTTGAGCTTACTTTAAATTATATTTGTAATTCCATTAGCAAATAAACATCTCGGCGCGGATTACTCGTTTAGTAATTATGTGTAATTTACTGCACATTCAAACGTACATATTTGTATTCTCTGTTGTTATCGTTTCTTAGAAATAATTGCACATTTAAGAAACGATGCTGCTTTTAATCGCAGGTGTTAATTCCAACAATAACTGCTATGGCGATAAAGTAAACGATTTCTCAAGAGATGTATTTGGGAATTACTGGTTAAATACACTATTCCTATGCAGAATTCATGATAATATTCATCAATAAATTGTCAATATTTTAAAAATGTTTTATTTACGACTCTGAAATTATACCGTATGATCGAATAAAAACCAAATTTCCAAACGTCGAACACGATGGGCAGTTCATAGTAGTGTTTAGTTCACAATAATTACCAAAACAGCTTTTTCATATTGAAAAATAACTAACGCTATATAATTATTTAAATTATAATTATAAAAAGATCACTCTACCATTGCAGCGAACGAATCATCAAAGTTTCTTCACATAAAATTTGGTGGCAGCGGTGGGGTTTAAGTCTAACGGTGAGTTATTCAGTGAAAACATCTATCCTAATTTCCTTTCCGTAAACTTCTAAATGGTTTGTTATCTACGCTGTAAAAGAATCAGTTATAAACGAAATAAACAAACCTCGAAGGAAAATTTTTGTTACTGTCTCAAAATTTTGTTAATTTCTCGACAGTAATGAAACATTCGGTATGAAATATACTGATATTAATATTATTCTGACTTATAATTATTATATTACTTAATTATAATAATTATTAATAATACTACAATTTTAATCGCAGTGTTACCGGACCGTACAAATTAATAATTTAATTTGAAGCGTAATATGCGCTATTTACAAACGCCTATATAGGGCATTACTGTCCGCTCCGATATCAATTTTATTTCGTTAAATCGACACACTGGCGCTAAAGCAATTATTCAGGCTCGTTCGGTCAGGGCAAACGCGATTATTTATTTATTGGCGATGGGCATCGGAGAGTCTAGCTTAATGTAGTTTGCTTGTGGAGCACTTTTACGATTAATTAGTAGGAGGTAGTGGAACGATTAAAACTAGTATAGTATGTAATAAAACTACAAAAAAAAACATATACAGGACTTCCTCGTTTTATATAATATAATAGCTCTCGTATACAGGGTGTCCCAGGCTGAGCGTGCATTAGAAGTTTCTAGAGAACCACAATATCTAGATCGGAGATTTTTTGCACATTATTGTTTTACCACGAGATCTATCGATTAAAAATATTTTCAATATGGCGATACTTCCGGAAATACCGGAAGTTGACAGCAACTTTCTTATTTTAAATGTATGAACCATATGCGAAAATGTCAAAAGTTGACATATGATATGTCATTCTATTCAGAGTGTTATTTTGTATCGAATAAAGTAAAAAATTACCGAGGGTGCCACTTAAAAATCAAAAGTTGTAGTCATTTTCGGTGAAACAGGAAGTTACCGAAAACAATTGAATATGTCAATCAATCCTAATTTTTCTCATATACTAACATACCAAATCTCGTTTTTTTAACTAAAAAAATAAAAAAGTTATTGGGGTGAGCCACTTTTGAGATGCACCCGGTGTAACTACTTTTTGTGGAATATTTTGTAGCGATAAACAGAAGGTACATGCATCAGAAGATATAATTCTTTTTATTTAATTATATTTAACAGTAACGGAGTCTTATCAATCAATATTTTTTTATATATTTGACCTAGAAAATCTTATTACGAAGAACAAAGAGTAAACAAGATGAGAAAGAAAAAAAAGAGAGGACAAGCTAAAATTTAATATCAACGACAAATTCGGCCTTACTCAAAATCAACTCGTTTCATCTTTTTTTCTATTACATTTCTGCCCCAAACATAACATTATTTTTTCTCTCCAATCCCAACAAACAGCACCCCTGGCCATACTTAAGCCCCGCTTACACTTACCGGCGTCCGTCAATGTGACCGTGCGAATCGACCCTTAGGCTTATCGGAGATGCGTGACCTAATCTCGCAATGGCACAAACAGTGGCATATAATATAAAATAATAGAACACTGGACGATGTTAGCCCGGGCTTTAGTAAATGTCTTATACTTTTTTATAGACACTAAAAACATTACCCATTCTATCTATATATAGTCTGTCCAACGACAAGATCCTTGACAATTATTGTGTGTCTGTCATTTTAATTTCAAAGTAGTTTATTTTATTTTACAAAGAAATAAGTTGGTACAACTGGAACGCATAGCAGGAAATTAATATATTCTCTGATATATGTATTTAAAATTTAACTGATATGTGAATACTTCAAAATATTGTGAAAAAAACTGTATGTGTTAATACAAAACACCACATACCAAAAAATATAAAAAGAACAATTTCTTACTTTCAAGCTTCAAGAAACTTCCCGAATTTATTATATTTATCAATATTACTTATGTACCAATACAAATTTGTAATATTCCACAGGAATAAATAAAACCACATAAATAAAACAAACTATTTTATTAATAACACTTACCAAATTTTATACATTAAAGGTTGATTAATTAACTTTAATCTTAATTATTTTTAAACCAGTACTTTTGACATTATTTTTCTGCAGTACTAAAATCCATTATTTACCTATCGTGTAATGTCGATATTTTACAGCTACTCCAGTAGTATATGTTTAGTACGATCCTTGTACTATATACGAAATGCACTTGTCTACGACAAGATGGTATACAAACTTTATTGATGGTAACTTTATTGGTGTAAAAGACTCTCTGCTTGGGCAACGACTATTAACTATAAACTGTGCTCTGGGTCTACAGTTAATTTTCCCTCGATTTTTCCTCCATTTGACTTCAATAGACACAAAACACACGTAATAACACGAATCAAAATGCATCATCTTTCAAAACGCAGATATTTGACATAAGTTAACAGTGTTGACACAAAATTATAACCTATAATTTGGCAAGACTTTGACAAGCCTCAAAAATCTAAAGGCGAGTTCATACGCCTCGAAGTCCGTTTGTTGTTCATCGTTCCGTCAAACCAATAAAATTGAAATATGATCTGTCATTTTTGAAATAAACCAATAAAACTGGTTAAAAACAACAACAGACGACGCATGACGGATTTATATTTAAACCCATCCATAGTTAACTTAAAAAATATTAGAAACTTTTTTTAGTAAAATAAATAGATTGGTATGGGACGTCATCTGCTTTTCTTCTGTCATCATCTGTCGAAATCTTACCTGAGAAAAAAAAAACAAAGTATAAATAATTTAATTAATTTAGTGACCGTTTTCTTCAACTAAAATATTTTAAAAATTTGATTGTAAATACAGGGTGTCCCATTATATCGTGGACATAGACTGTACCAAAAAAAAAAGAAAAATCAATAAAAGCTGACGTACATGATACCAAAATATTTGACGGAAGCTCCTAGCAGTGTTGCCGTGGCTACTTTTTTTT